TAGTTTAGTAATTTATCTACCTCAGAACGTGGATTGAATTGTCTGATGGAAAAGAAAGCGATTGGGATACATCTTTTAAAATATGTCAAAGAGCGTTTCAAAATGATTCGTTCTATATGTATACTCATCCAGATGCGGAAATACGACGGAAATTTTTAGCAGTGTACTACAATGACACATATCTTGGACATTTGAAAGAGGGTTATGGATTGTTATCTTTACTTAAAGTGAAAGAAGGCAATGAAATAAAAATAATTGGTGCGATAGCTGGTTCATACATTTCAGGAAAAGAACTCAGCAAAGAAGACGATGATCGCTTGTCTCAGATCGATAAGGAAAGTTGGGAAAGGTATAAAAGGTAAGAACGTTTTTATTTTAAATTATACAATTTGAGGTTTACAATTCTGCAGATTCTTACTCAAAATATTATGTTAGTTTCTTAGAATAAGATTTTACCTTCCCTAATTCAATGAATATTTCATTCAGGCACGCGGAATGCGAGGAACAATCATACGAAAACGAATTCGGAGAATTGGGTGAAAAATTAGGGGTTACTGTTATTCATGGAATTTTTCACGCTATTGATGACGGATATAGAGGAAAAGGAATAGGATCAAAATTTTTACTGAAAGCAATGCAAATGCAAAGTGATGAAGTAATGAGACGCGAAAAATTAGCAGGAATACCTAATTCAAAAATGCCTTTTTCCTACGCTATTTCTCACCATCCAAAATCTAGAAACTTTTGTAAAAAGATCGGCATGATTGAATTGGCTCAAGTGAGATCTTACCAACCAGCTGATTTATGCAAAGAGCTTTCGTATATGTGGATTTTTGTTCTTCCATCTTTGCCTTCAAGTTATATCAATGCTGTCAAAATTTTTTTTGTTCTGCCAGCAATCGTGTGAATGTCTCGATAAATATTACAATGGTCCTAATGGATTATTCAAGCGTTGGACAAAATAAGTGTGTGTGTGTGTGGTATGAATATGAAATATATGAAGCTTTTAGCAATTTGAGTCTTTTGCGCTAGACAATTCAAAACCAAATCTTGGTGAACTTCACAAAATCAAGTATAGTGAAAGGAAACGACGACAGTATGCCTGAAATAGCTCTGATTTGAGAATCAATGCCATAATCGCAGCATTTCATCTTAAATGTGTGCCTTTCCTCTCTATATACACGACAGTTCATTAGAAAATGTTCCATTGTCTTCAAAATAAACAATCCCCATCAGTTCAATACGATACAGGAAAAAGTGTTTTTAATGGCAATGAACGATAATGCTGTTTTTTTCTACAGAGTGGTAATTTTCCTTTTAAATATTAAAGTGGAAGTGTCTATCTTTACGAAAAGAACTTTTTTGTTTTTCTGGTAGTTTTTCCCTTACATGAATAAGTTAATGGGCCACAGAATTGTTTGTGTAACAGAATTAGGCCACGAGAGAAAAAGGGTTGAGAACCACTGGGACGTATGAATCATCATCGTCAAAGGACCTGGTAACCTATACGACAGACCGGGTCCCAGTACCTGTACTGATAAGTTACGGTCGCCGTTCTACAGTTTCGGCTTTGTTCAGGAGGTAATTTTAGGGAAATTTGGGTAGAGTATTCGATTTTTTTATCATGTGGATTGAATTATCTTTATCTGATGGTAATGAAACTGACTGGTTGGCAAGTTTCAAAATATGTAAAACGAGCTTTTCAAAATGATCCTCTATATATTTACACACACCCTGATCCGGATATTAGACGAAAATCTTGCATCTTTTAAAAGTATGTCAAGGAGCGTTTCAAAACGATTCGTTCTATTTGTATACCTATCCAGACACGGAAATACGACGTAAATGCTTTATATATCAATATCTAAATCTGAACCCAATAAAACGTTTTTGCCAGTCGCGTACTGCAGTCGGTTTCTAAGCAATCTTACGCGTTGCTACATTTTTCGCACAAGAATATACTGTATCGAGTACTGATATTTTTTAGTAGTTATTTGTGTAGCATTGTCGAAAATATTTATTCAGCATTTTTGTAAGCATGGGATAAGCCAATCTTGTCTTAATTATACATTGAAAAGTGTGACATACGCATTGTTATATCCCAAACGCGGCCTCATCATCTGTGGCCTGTTTCGTATTTGGCATTTGCTGGGGGTTAATCAAAAATGCATTTGGTGTTGTCTAATCATAAAAATCTTTTGACATATTGTTACATCACTAATATCACTGAATTGACTAGTGTTATGACTAGCGAAGTTTTTGGTCTGGAATATATGCTGACAACATAATACATGGGCATCATAGAAAAATGAAAATCGAATGCGATATCTATTAGCTTAGGTTGGCTTATGCGTGATAACTAAATATTAATGTTATGGCCTGACATTATAAATCCCGCCGGTTTTTTTTTTTTAAACCAGCCTAAACAGGATTACAAAAAAAGATGTCTCTATGTCAGAAAATTTAGTAATTACCCTCCTCACATTTGGTAATAAATCATCCTGCAGTGATTTGTAAATTGTTAACATGAGTTTGAAAAAAAAGCTGACCAATTCAAACAGATTTTTAACTGGATATAGAAGAATAAAGGGTTGATGGGATTTGAACTAAAAATTAGCATTCACATATTTCGTTGAAGAAAATTATGAGAAAAACAAGAGAGCTACGCCCAAATATATGGACACGTCTGTTCGCAGTACAGTACGGTTTACCGTACCGTCAGATCACAGTCTACAAATATATTCACACCAAGCGAAGCAGTACAGTAGGACTTCCAACTTTTGCTAAGGCGGTACGGTAACGTCCCCGCAGAAAAGAAAACCAACATTATTGCAATACTGTACGGTACAGTACCGGTACCGTAGTAAGACAGCGTAAGGAAAAAATCGTAGCAAAGTACCGTAAGGACTTCGTTACGAACCATCGACGTTCGATGGCACTTGATCAAAAAGAAGAGGAGTGTCGGCTATGCGTCCGCAGAACGTTCGGTGACGTCATAGCAAACAAAAACAAATCTCACAGAGCTAACAGAAATATTTAAAATAGATAAAATAGCCTTCTGGAGAAAAATTTCATCTTTAACCAGTAAAAATTTCGAAGCAATCGGTCCAGTAATGAAAGAGAAAAGCGGTTTTTTAGATTTTCCACTAGATGTCCAAAAAGTGTCAAAGAACAACAACAACAAGAGAGCTACGCACAAATATATGGACACGTGAGACCAGAGCGAATCAGTCTTTACCGGTACCTTTGACGCTACCGGTACCCTCGAAAAAGTTCTGAATTTCCAGTAGCAAGAATTTTGCAGAATCAAAACGTACAGCCAGTCATGACACTGACTAAAATCCGTGTTCCCATGGATAAAAAATAAGACAGCAAAATTTTAGACGAAATATCAAATTTCATAGAATTCACGCAAAATTTTGAAATAAATAAAAGTAATAGCCTTCTAGCGAAGAAATTAATCTTTAACCACTGAAAACAACAACAACAACAACATAATATTGAAACGATCGTTATGGCCACTAAACGTGTCCAACAAGACCAACATAATATTGAAACGATCGTTATGTCCACTACGTGTCCAAAAAGTATTAGGCTGTTGTCAAGGGAATCATACTGTTGATGTCTTTTCCAACCTTCTTCGTCGATATCGGCAAAATGACTGTAAGTTTTTTCCATCAAAATTTCATCTTCCTCCATTGAGCATGCTGTCGCTCCAACTATTTTGTACGCGCCCGTCTTTGAATATTTCTGGATATAGATATTCATAACACACAGAAAGAAATTTTCGTCTAATATTCGTACCAGGATGTGTTTAAATGTATAAAGGGTCCTTATGAAATGCTCGTTGGCATATTTGAAAACTCGCCAACCAGTCCCGTTCATTACCATCAGATAATTCAACTCACATGCTGAAAAAACAAAAGGGCAATGCTTAAATATATACCGTGAAGGCCAAGACGAAATATTTTACCCACAATTACTCCAAAATCATATCCTGAACGAAGCTGGGATTGTGGAACAGCCACCGTAATTTACCAGTACCGGTACCACCCGGACTGTTCCAGCTTTCTCAGGGTCTGGGACCGATAATGATTCATGCTTCTAGTCTCGATGTAAATCAAATGATTGAATGATCCACAGGTGTAATAACAAGTCTTTCACCGTACCGTACTGGCAGTCTACCTTACATTTCCAAAAACCTTCAGACATTCGCTGAGCACGAAATCAGCTGATTGCGATTGTGGAATCTCTGCACGGTGCTCAATTTTTAATTTTCATGGCGTCATCACACAAAATTTCGTACGGAAAAACGGATCCCATAGAGCCCAAAGGAATTTTAGAAATTATTTAAAGAAATAGCATTCTAGCGACAACAACAATCTTCAGCCATTGATAATTTGAAAGCAATTGGTATGGTACTTGAAAAGAAAAGCAATTTTTTTACAAACAAGAAGAAAAGAAGAAGAAGAATACCGAATATACCAACAGCAACAACGACAATTCGACATAACAATCTATACGTCCAAACATGTCACATAAATATACTTTTATATTAAAGTGAAGATATGAAAAAGCATGTTTCTCGGATAACGAATCCATTTTGCATTGTCACCTCGGGATATAACAATCCGCTTGCCACATTTATTGAAGCATACTTTAGACAAGATTAGTTTATCCCGTGGTCACGTAAATGCTTCGACACGAAATTTACATAAGGACCGTTTTGTTATTCACCATACATTGCGCCGAAAAATCAAACGTCGTAATTGCCATATGAATCTTTTCGACAGGACGGTTATGCTATACAAATAATTACTAACGTTACGTTGCTGGTACTTACCTCTCTGCATCATTTAACAATGTTATTTCAAATATTTTCGTTCGCGTTAACGGATCAGTAGTAAATAAATGTAAGTGCCAGTACTCGTGGCAGTATATTATTGTTCGACAATAAGTTGCCAATCGTAATTTTTTTTAGATGCAACCGATAGAAGCACGCGACTAGCATAGGAGGTAAGGTTTAAACAAAAATATAAAAATAAAAGATTCAAATGGCTTTTTTGTGTAATTCAAAGTCTATTCACCACAGCTGTTGACGCGCATGAGTTAGTATTAGTCAACAGTGCCTGTTCCCCTGGACAATTCTCTGAGTTAATCATTAAAGCAGAGTTTTGAATGGTGCGTATCTGACATCATTTGTAAATCCAACAGCGTGTGTGATAGCCTAACAAATTTATGAGTTGACTGAAACGTGCAATTTCGAAATGGATACAAATAAAGAAAATACCAAGTAAGTGAAATAGCACAGAAAATATAATAATTGGTTAGACCGGACTTTGTGAAAGAAACCATTTGAAGGATTTCGACCGTCGCTGCCAACGCTCTGAAACGAATTCTAAGACTCACCTGTACGAATATCTTAGGGTTAGTTAAATTCTAAAATTAGATCATGTAGTGATTCGTGGCGAGTGTAGTACGTTGTGTTTATCTGTTTGCACAATAATATTGATTTACGAATGATTTATTATTAGCTGACTATAAGCCACCAGACGATCAATTGTAAAATTATTTTACAGTAAGTTAAACAAGTTGAATTGATTTTGTTCTGGAAAAACATTTTCTTTTGCCTTCACTTTATGTATGTTCAGGCAGGCTAACATGTTTTTAATTCAGGTTTTTGAATAAAATCTCAAATACTGATATATTTATTGGATTCCAAAACCATTTTATCAGAATTTCCAAGTTATAATTAATAACATCATAATTTTGTGTAAATGAGATAAATTTCGCTATGTAATTGAGAATAAACATGAGAGCACAGCTTAAATTCATAGACACGGAGGTCACCCATCAGTCGGTACTGTTACCGAGATTGATGAAATGCAACGTGGTGCCACGTGGTGGCGCAATGTACCAAAACAAGCCAGGTTTGGGATGTAAAACCATGCTCACAGGAATCAGAGAAAATTCAAAATTAAATGAAAGTAACAGTCTTTCAGCGACTTTTAGTAGTAAATTCAAAACTCATTCGGACTACTAGTTGAAAGGAAAAACGATTTATCATGATAAAAACGTCAAAACCAAAACCCACATCTTGGCTACCCATAAACATGTAATTAACAAGTTGAAAAATTAACGAAAAGTAATCTTTCTAAAGAAACCTAAAAAGATTTAACATTGAAATATTGAGCGCCTGTAAAATAATATGTAACACAAATTGTACACTGTAAGAAAGATAATTTTAGATTTATTCTTTTATTCGAGTTCTTTGATACGAAGATTAGTTTTCATTAGTGAGAAATTGTGATTTCAATTGCATTATGAGTTATATGCAACGGCAATCGTCCAGAAATCGTTAACATATCGTAAATTCATTTCAATGGAGAACGTGGGTCCGCGGAAAATACACGATGTAGAAAATAGTCACAAGCTCTTCTCGTCATGTTTACTTCACTCGTCTTTTTCGTATTCGTGCAATTCCAAATAAAAATTAAATCGCAATGCCCAATTACGCTTGAATCAGCGAGTTATTTTAGAGGTTTTGGTCTTCGTTTATAATGCTTAGGCGTCTATTGCACGTATCAAATTATTATTCTTTTTGGTTGTGCCTCCGTATTCCTATTATTCGTGTTCGAACAATCAAAAATATTTTATTTAATTCAGAATGTGGATGGAATTATCAGATGGCAAGGAAAGTGATTGGAGAGATTGTTTTAAAATATGTCAGCGAGCATTTCAAAATGATCCTTTCTACACTTACACACACCCGGATCCAGCAATTCGGCGAGAATTTTTGAAAGTCTATTTTGACTATTTATACCCAGCTATTTTACAAGATGGCAAAGGTATATTAGTTGTAATAAAAGCTGAAGACGAGGAAGGAATCAAAATAATTGGTGGGATGTCAGTTACAATGTATCAGGATGAGGAATTAGAAAATGATCACACAGCTTTACTAGCAGTTGATAGAAACGGTTGGATGAAACATTTGAGGTAATACTTACTACCTATTTGATAAAACTTTACATTTTATGTGTTCAATGTTTTCAGTGCTTCATTTTTTTTCAATTTCGACCAAAGGTTTTTGATATAGTACTTGTTCATCCCTCACATCACTGTCTGGAATACCATAGAACAATTGTATTATTACCTATGATCCATTTGTTATATTTATAGACGTGATGACTGGGAATGTGAAACCTATTACGAAAAATTACAAGAATTGGCAGACAAATTAGGTACAAACCTTATGCCTGGCGTGTTTCAAATAGTGGATGATGGCTACAGAGGAAAAGGAATTGGATCAAAATTCGTCATGCAAGCGGTGCAGATGATGAGTGACGAAGTCGTAAAAAGAAAGCGTCTCGCTGGAATAGCAAAACCTAAACCTCCCCTGGCTTATTGCATCTGTGATCATGAAAGGTCTAGGAATTTTACGAAGAAAAGTGGGTTCATAGAAGTGGCTCAATTACGTACAAACAACGTTGGAGTTCTAGGCAAAGATACATCCCATATATGGATATTTTTACTTCCACCTGAGGATCCGAGTTGGATTTATGAAGCCAGAAAAATGTTTGTTTATCCATCTAATCTGTAAACATTTCTTTTTGTGCTCCATACTTATCAGGCACATATAACATTGCGGAACTTATATGAACTACCTCGAATCAAATAGTTTCTCAGCTGCCAAAGTTTGATGGAATAATAGTCTAGAGGAAATTACTAACAGTCATGAGTTATACCCTTTACCCGTGATTTTTTTGCAGAATAGATTACTGCCTTTTATCAAATCCTTGTGCTTATACTAAAATACATTATCAGATTATTTTGTATGTCTTATGTCAGATTGTCTTTGCAATATATATGATTTTGTGCAATATAATATTATATTCCATTTTCTTCGGATTTTTTTGTATATACTGTAAATGAAAAGACATACATTATATAAATATATATAACTATTTCTCGAAATAATGATTTTCTTTTATAGATACCAGTTACATTCCACCAAAAATATTATGTTAAAAGTATTTTGGAATACTACTTCTCTTTATGATATTAGTCCTGTAACTGATTGCGTTGAGCAAACCGCATTAGTAAAGTATCGCGTTAATCGGTAGTTTCAACGAACCGCTTTTCAAGTAGAAAGTTATCTATAAATCATGATGTTTTAGTGTTTTCATGTCGCGCTGCGATAAAAAAGATTACTCTGGTGTCAGTCGTATCGAGAGCAAGTTTAATTCTGTGGGAAAACTCATTTAAAAAAAATATCTATGACTTTGGATTTATTATACACCTGTGCAAAACCAATGGATAACAATAAAATTTGATGCATGAAGAATATCTTTCGAATGGCAACTGATTGATACAAACAAAAAACTGTATAAAAATGAAGACAAGAACAGAAGCATTTTATGTATTACATAACATATCCGGGGACTACTCATTGCCAATTGAATTGAATAAATTTCACGCAAAATAAACGACGTACTGATTTTCATTAACACAAACACAAAGAAGCCCAAGTTATTTTGCCATTAGTTAGGCTTAGTCAAACATAAATGCATGATTGCACTTTTGTTTTTCGTTGCTTGCCCACATACCAGATTTGTATGTTGAAATTTACAAAGTATATAAATATATATATATCTGAAAAACAACTGATGAGCTGGGCATGGACGCAAAATGAAACTCCTCTTCACTGTGCTTGAACTTGCATAAAACGAGATTTCAAGAACGATTTCATAAATAAGGCTACGAAAGAGCACAAAGTTGCTTTAACTCAAATGACCCTATTATTTACCTACAAAATTTCAAGTTTTCTTCTGATCAAGTTTGATGGAACGCTTAGTACTCTTTGTTCTTGACAACCCAAATCAGAAGAGCCCACCCTCAAAAATGGGCTCAAAGATGGCAATCCAAGCTGGTCTTATTGAAAGGAGTCAACTTTCAAGAAAATTATCACTAAGTTCCATAACACTGAGTAGGTTTTGAATTGCTGGTTAGTATTTTCAGGTTTCTGGAATAATTTCTTGTGAACCAATCACATTCAAAGGTCAACTAATATTTAACAATGATGCACGTAAAAATGCTTCAATTTCCAGTTACTCAAAGAACGGATCCAGCCGGAGAAGCTTGGTCTTCTGCTACCGTTATCTTGTCGTGCATTTCAATTTTAGTAAAATGTGTTGATTTGGAAGAACCTCTTGACGTTCTCTGTGAAGAACATTGACTATCTTTTGTTCTCCGAATCTTTTTGTAAACCGCGTCAACCATGTCCGAATACAGAATAGGATTGAGAGCACTGTTTATGGGCAAAAGAACGATTGCTGCCACAGCGTATGCTGTATCTTGAATATTCACTCCAGCCAGCTTGCAGAAGGACATTATGCAAATTGGGACCCAACAACAGAAATCAGTGATGATGAGACGAAGTATTTTTCTTTGCATTGCTGAAAAATAAAACAAATTAATATAAAAAAATTGATAATGATAATAATTCCAATAAGGAAAATCAACCCAGAAACAAATGAAATTAAGTTGTGGGTGGTTATTGCGAAGGCTGTAGATTCGGGGAAAGTTTACATCCAACTCCGGACTATGGGTTGTTACATTTTTCCTACTCCGACTCCAGCTCTGAACTTTGGGAAATTTAAATCAAAAAGCGAAAACTTTGGCGTATGCAGGCCTTCTCTAATAGACTGTTGTGAACGCATCATAAATTTCATTCTTTTTGCTGATTGTTTTTGTTACCAATGCCAGTCTGAAATTCCTACTTCGGTGAATTCAGAATAATGAGTTAGAAAACAACGATCCCAGTTCCGACTCCGAATCCAATGAAAACATGCCAAACTTCCAGCCCCGTCTCGAATCTACAGCCCAGCTTGCTAGAGGCACCTAGCCTTGAGCTCAATAGAACGTAGGGAAGATATATTGCTTACACTAATTTTGTTAAATAGATAAATATTTACGGCAAGTATCAAAACAACAACGAAAACAAACAAAATATCTGTCACAAACAAACATAAGGAAATTATAATTCTATGCTAAATACAGGAGTGACAAATTTTTGTAAACGTTCTAGTAATATAACGAACATCGTAAGATATTAATTTAGGTATATATATCTGAAATCAAATCTACTTCGTGTGACACAATATAATTGAAATATATGGATGTGTGTGGAGGTTTAAAGAATCGTCAAAATAGATTGCTTTTTTATCAAAAATAAAATTATTTAAAATAATAGTGGAAATCAAAACGGATGCGTTCAAGTTTAAAAAATTACAAATTACATTGCTTTTTTATCTGAAATAAAATCATCTAAAATAATAGCAAAACTCAAAACTAAAATAAAGCGAAAATAAATGCCACGCCTCCAACCTAAACCCCTTTTATGATGAACCTCATCATGCGTTTTAGTTTGGCTACGTCGAGAACTTATTCTTCTCCCTGTATAAAAGTTAGTTATTGGATATATAAATTCTGCCGTAATTTATTTTTGAAATTTTAAACATTTTACACTTATAAAGAAAGATTCAAATTTTTGTTATCGTACAATTATAACTTTATATTACAATAGGTTTAAAACAAACATATATATGAGATGGTTTGAAAACAAGTATGATTTTGTTACTTCATTCTTCTGAATAGAAACATATAGATATGGATTGATAATTCACTCAGATACTCATTGCTATAATTCACAATATATATGCAATTTTATTAAAAACAATACGTACATTTCATATTTTTCTCATCATTTTTCTGCGGACCTCGTACGTTGACGTCTTTTCTTGACTTGAAATATATACTAATATAGGCAACCACAACAAAAGTGAAAGCCACAAAATTAAACAGGGTAAGAATGAATGAAAACACCCACGCAGGATCTGATCTTGTTATGAAAAATTTCGGGATACAAACACTTGCTGTACTGTAATACCTGCAAATAAATTGAATTGTAAATTCCTTGAAATGTCACTTGAGTTCATTGCTGGGGTTAAATGAGAATTGTGTCACGGCTCGTACATCCGGTACAGGATATATGACTCAGTGACATTGTCTGGCATTCGATCTTGCTTGAGTAAAAATCAAATCACAGAATCTTACTCGAACGCTTAGAACTAGTTAAATACAATACAAAGGTATAAAAAGTTTTCTGAGATTTGGTAAAATCGACTACCAAGAAATCAAATGCAATCCGAAACTGTTCGCAACTAAAACTGTTTATGCTATCATTTTTTTTTTCGGATTGCTTCACATGACTATTTTTCTGCCAAAAAGCAGTTAGGGTATTGCAGATTGTAGGCTTTCAGAAATATTTACATTATGCTTCAATATAAAAACGTTTGCATTTCTGATTTAAAAAATGATCCCATTCAGTAAATCACTAATCAGTAACTTTGGATAGAAGAAACGTTGAATCTGTAATATAGTCAACTCACCCCCAATAAATCTCGGGATCAAAATAATTAAAATCAAAGTATTTTGTAGCATCATTCTTTAAATCGTCCCATGATGCTTGTTCTAGGAATGTATTCAACTCTAAAAACACAATTAAGTGAATAATTTGTATTAGGCCTAATGTAAATGTTAAATAGTACGCCTGTCTTTAAGGTTATGTCCGCCATAACAACCGCATGTAAAAATGTAGGTATGCACTTGTCTGCATTTTGCCATAAACGACAGGTATAACAAACAATGAGATGTTGCAATAACCTTAATTAATTGTGGGTTATAAAAATGGTTAAATATATGCAAAGTTTACTGTAATAGTTTACCTGCGACGTTAGCTTGAGAAATATTTTCTGATTTTGTCAATACCATTTGGCTAAACATCTGTTTGGTTGTTGCTAAAGGAGTTGAAATTGCAGTAGCAAATGGATTGTTTTTGAACTTTACGCCGCTTACAAATATTCTAGATAATCCTGGCGTTAGAGGTAATAATCCGAGAATCAGTGACGTCATCCATGAGCCCAGGATAAATATGAGCAAATGGCGTGGTGAGGGTTTCCTTGATGACTGGAAAGGCTGAAATGTTTATAATATTTTATTTAATATTAAACAGATATATGAAGATGTGCTCTAGAACAGCGCTTACGAGACATCGTAAAATTCTAAGACCTCAAAGCTCACAAATCGAAACTTACACAAAGAGGTAATAAAATTAGAACATTTATAATAAAAACTCTGCATTATTACCTATATAAAATAGAGCAAAATCGTAAAAACAGCATAAAATGTTTTCACTTTCTTACATTAGAGATTGCATAAAGTCTACATCCGGTCAATAAAATCATTGTTATCACGGATGTTTCACTCGCAGCGACAGATAATACGCCAAGTCCAATGCACGTCTTACTAGAACGCCACGCCAGGTCTCGACTGCAGTAATCACCCTGAATTAAGTTATACTGTAAATATTTACCTAAAACACTACAAGTTCATTCTTAATTGTGATAGATTGTGTGAGATCAAAGTTGGAAATAGTCATTGAGGTGATTCAAATTAGATTATTTATTTTTCAAGTATTTGCAAAAATTTTATGCACCAGTTCTCGCTACGAACTCCTATCTGCTCGCACTATCTATTGTTAGAAAAAAGTGAAAAGTAACTTGACTAAATTCATGATATTAACTTGTTACCAATGTCAATATATGATGTGGATACAACCCAGGTGAAGATAACTACATTATCCCCATTCAAAACCTATGGAACAACCACAACCTGCGTTTTTTATTTGCATGAAAATTTTGTTTGAAAATATAACAGTAGAATTAAACATTGTGTTTAAAATGCATCGGAAATTCCAAATCCAAATCGTCTTTCAAAAGTCAAACACAAAAACGCTAAACTATAAAAATCAACCCTATGACTTTTGTAATTCTTACAATTTTCATTTTATTGTCTTAATAAAAAATATTATACCTGCATTTTTAAGGCCATGACACAAAGAGAAATCAAATATATTCCCATCAAAAAATCAGCTAACGCCAGATTTAATATTAATAATCTGTTGGCTCTCATTGCTGGTGTTATTTTCGTCTTTTGACGAAGTTTAATAATTTCTCGTATTATGACGGCCTATAAATAAATAAAATTATTGAAACACACATATTAATACATTTTCACTCACAATTTGTTGTAAATTTACTCTATGGCATCTTTGGTAATAAAACTATCGAGAATCATGGTATGTAGTTTATTTATTTGTCGAAATTGCACAGCAAAAATGTTAACAAAATAATTTAAATATAGGAGACCTCATTTGTTTTGTTTTTGTCCATCTGAAATTTGTTATACTGAAAGATTCATACTAAAGAAAGAATCAACTTACGGCATTGCCTATTATTGCCAAAAGCGCCATAATCCATATTATTGTCCGCAGTACAGAGCTCTCAATCAACTCATATCTTGATGAAAATGCATCAATAGAAGTTGACTTATTGATGGTTGGACATTCATCACTCCAGTCTGAGCAGTCACCGATTCCGTCGCGTTTCTGAAATTTGGCCAAAACTGAGAATAATCCGACAATTCATTTGAAATTTAGCTCTATATATCTCGTCATTTGTAATGGGCTAGTACATTTAATCGCGTAACTAAAACTATAGTGTAATCTAAAAAACATTAACAATCAAAAAGATGCGACTGGTTATGATTTTATTTTATAGTGCAAATTATCATATGGTTTCAATGTATTTAGTGGGCTTTTACTATGCCTGATGTGACAAGCTTATCAATAATTTATTTTCTATAAAAAATATCAATTCATATTGCCAACTATTAACCAATGGAGTATTTTAAAATTTAGGATAACACGTTATATTAGCCACGTAACGTTGTGCTGGCTGCATTGTTTTGCAGGACCAATTGCCTTCAAATTTTCCATAATTGATATATGAAAGTTTATTTGGTACTTTCATATTTCCTTTTGTTTCATTGAATATGTACAATAAATGGAATCACTGCGTCGAATATGCACTTCATTTTTTTCGATCTCTTGATCAACGGCCATATATGATACTTGACGGTAGGTAGCCTGTCAGTAATGAACTTTCCATGGTGTCCATATATTAGGTGATAGTTTTCGTACTTCTAGTACGTTTTTTACGTTTTATCAGCTCCAAATTTCTTAGTATATAAAGTATTGTATGTTTAATATATATGATATACCACTCAATAATTATTCAATTAAATTTCTGACATCGTTTATTTTCAATAATAAATATGAGTTTCATTCTTCTTCTGCACAAAACTGAATTGGCGTTCATATACAAATACAAAGATCCTTAGCAAAACACATATTCTCTACAATACATATATATAATGAAAAAAATAGTTTTCAGAGAGATACCAAATGTACCATATCTAAGCTGACTGCCAATTTTACGTATGCATTATTTCTGCGTCCTAACTCAACTATTTTGGAAACTTACAACTTTAATTACAAATCATTTGTTCATTATCTATAAAGCAAGCTCAAATATTACATGACAATATCTTAGAACAGCGTTTCCCAACCTGTGTTCCGCGATAAAGCATCTTTCAAAAGCACACTACTGTTCCGCGAGCGTCTTCCGAGTGTTCCGTAGAAAACAAATCAAAAATACGTCTAAATGGGTCGCCATGGCGATCTAGGGATTGTGAAGTTGTCGTCCAACTGACCGTTCAATATCGCGTCACCGTCGACCTACAGCGGACTAACTGAGGTAGGTAGGGTAGTGGCATTTTCCTTAACCGCCTAGCTTTTTGACTGTTAGGTTCATTATCAAGTTTGGAGACATCCTTTTGTTTTTTCGATTGGCAAACAAGTAGGTCTAAAGAACAAAGGCAAATGGTCAATTCTTCTTCCGCCATCTCTGCCTGGGTTTCTTTCAAATGCTGAGGCGATTACTCATGTTCGCTAAACTCGATTCAGCAGATAAATATATATATATGTTGATTCATATACACAGCATTCAAATTAAGAAACAATAAAACCTTTATGGTAAATGCAATATGTAAAATATTCAATCATATTTTTGTTACGTTTAGCACAATTTGTTAGTTTTCGTGGCGCATTTGGCAACACCCTTCGGGAACCGCTGCCATTTTTCTTTATGAATTTTACACTTTCACTTTTTGATGTTCCGCGAGGCAAGATAAAAAGTGTAAGTGTTCCGGGGCCAAAAAAGTTTGGGAAACGCTGTCTTAGAAGAATTAGCTTAAATTGCGACATCATAACAATACTGGTAAGCCATGTTCAAAATGCTTCTCATATATTTTATATATTTGCAATACATCATACCTGGGAATTCATCACGTAAAGCGGTTGTCCATTTTCACAATAAAATCTGTCATCAGTGCAGTTCATTTCATCTGTTTCATCGTCACAATTTTTTGAGAAATCACATAAATTCCTGCTGTCAATACTGATCTGAATTTATAATTCAAATTTTTCATAATACGATATAATTTATTGTGGTTAAATCTTTCATATCCTGTATTAGTTTTCTAATATAATTGGTGTAGAAATTACCATTAATCCCCCTCGTACAGAGCAACGGAATCTGTTTGATCTTCCAGAATCTTTGCAAACGTCTGCAATTTCGTCTTTTCCATCTGTGCAATCTAATATACCATCACAAACTTTATCTTCGGATATGCTTACATATCCAGGTCTTGTTGAATTACAGTAAAATCTGAAATTGTATTCAGGTTTTATTAAATTAAAAGATGAATGCCTCACGTTGCATGGCAACGGATTTAAGTATGAATTTGAAAAGGAGTTATAGATCTATTTGTATTCCTTTATAATTTTAAGGGAAATCGAAGATGCTACTCACAAGATACCTTGAGTTGGAAATATTTTCAGTAACTTCGAAAATCACATATTAGTGTCCGATAAATTGGTCAATACCTTCAATTCGATACCCACAGGAGTGTTATTGTGCGAATTGTGTTATAGCTTATAAAAACCAAGTAAGTAATAACTTATATACTAAAATACTAATTCGTTTGGCAAAATTTCCAGTATTTCTGACTTAAACTTCTGATTTAGTACCGATAGTACAAAATATAAATCTGAATATCGTGTTATGTTAGCAAAAAATAGTAAAAAAATTTGACTTTCATCTTCATGAATGAAAAACTTATGATAATTTTGTGACCAGCATTCACAATTTAGTATGGCTATGTTTACCAGTAACTCACCTGTAAAACTCATCGATGCAATGGCTTTCGTCATCTCCCATCAATTCACAATCTATAACACCATCGCAATATTTCTCTCCATCAATGTCTTCTGTGTAGGCATCCGGTAACACAGAACCCTGATAGCACAATTGTAAATTGTTAAAAGCAAAAGGAAAGTGATATTGCTTGTAGTTTGGCAAGATGATTCTGTTTTTGAAAGATGCTTTATATTTAACGCTTTCATTGTCATATAATGCTACATTATATGATTACGTATATTATTTTCACGAGAAAACGAGCTATTTGAAGCAAGCATGTGCATGACAAACTGTTACATTTTTAACCGTCGTGAATTGCAAATGTTTCATCTGAATTTCAAAATAATTGTTGAACCCACAAGGACTGATTATGAATCGTTAAGAAGCGTTTACGGAATGATTATCAAGCACCCCCACAAAGAAAACAAAAAAAACTGACATAAAGATTCAATTTAAAAATTAATGTTGCTTCTAAATATTAATTACACTATTCATTTTGTATAACAGAAACAAAATTCTTCTATTGCAACCTAATTCCACTTCATATGTAAAATGATTTATTCATGAACTGATTGTTCATCATTTAGCCTCCTAAAAATATGAGTGGTTACTATGGGCTATTATAAAATTCAATGAGATAGGGTCTATAAGATTTGTCTTACATCGTCCGGCTTTTCGCACCACGTTCCATACAACGACTGCTTCAATGTTTTTGATGCACTTTCAACGCAAGTAAAATTTGAAGACTTTTCACTGCACGATGCAATACATTCATCTTCAGGATATTCCCACAATGTATTGATAACATACCCTGGGTCTTGTCTTGGTGGACATTCAGCCAAACCGTTACACGATACACCGTAATACCGACGACAAGATACGTCGTGATCGACGACGCATCTGATGTAAGATAATGTATATTTAACGATTTGTCAAACGTAGGAACAGTGTAAAAATTGTTTATTTTGAAATTATTTTCAAAAAATTTAAACAATGAAATTCCTTTCATCGTTGAGATTGAAGTGTTGGATTTATATATACCTCATAACGAATACCTCGATTCGAATTCAAACGTATAGTATGAATAGTAATTTTAAAATTGTTTCTTGCTGTAATTAAATGTAATTAATTAAATGTAATTAAAGTATTTTGAATACCTGCATTTTTCTTGATTTTCTGCGTCTTTGCAAGCTAGTGTTCCATCACATAAACCTTCACTGAAAAATATTTAAAAAAAGTTATAGTACACGCGAATTCATTAAATTAGAAACTGAAAAAAATTATGCTCAATATTATTCCTCGAGTTTCAAAATAGAATTGTTTATCAAACCTCTCGTCCTCATCGCAATCCTTTACACCGTCACAAATTCTATGTCGTGAAATACATTTATCATTTTTGCACCTGACATCACCTATCTGACAATGAGTTGCATTGGTGGTTGTATCAACCGGCAGAAGCAAATTTTCCAACGACAATCCAAAGCTCTGTGAAAATGTTAGCAGTGAACTTATACGAGTAAGTTAGATTGGTCAGTTGGATTGTAGGATTGAATTGCGACATATTTGATGGATCGTTTTCGAAATCGTGCTCGATTTAAAACAATTATAAATATATATTTTATTAATATTGTATACTTTATATTTTACTAAAAAATGGTTTCACAACACGCGATTATTTGTTAGGACCAAACGTTTGAAAAACTTGCAGGGAATATTCAATTTTTTCTGTTTTGTTAACTAGTTTTAATTTTAAAAACACGTGTAAATCTGAAACGGATTGTAAATTATGTGATCAGAGTTCAAACTCTACAAAATTCAAATTAACCTTATTCCGATGAACCGTGATTGTCTATATAATACAAAAAATACAATTTATAAGTATTACTTATGCATTAACAGAATTTGCACTTATGTCAGATTGTCGTGATGCTCCAGTCAAGTTTCATACCTTATAATTGTTTTGAGTTATAATTTGATCACAGATGGCTGGTTTGTTCTTTTCGCAAAAACATTCATCTGATAAATCTGGACAGTCAATTATGTGATCACATATTGCAGACGAACGAACAATCATCGATTTATCCATACATTGAAAACATTTATCTCGAATGAGATATTCTGTTGGCTGTCTCTCGTTTCTGAAAAATAAATTATTTATTATTGAATGTTTCTATCAATTATTTGTTTTCTTTTTTAATTTCTCTATATAGATTTTATCATACTATTATTTATGATTTCTATCATTTTCGCTTCCTAAAGTTCTGTGTCAAATCAAGGTCAAGTCATTTTTGCATAAATCGATGAGCAGCGCCATACTGATACATTTATCTGTCCTTCTGTTATGGCAACTGACCAGAAAGGTTCCACTTTTTAATATTCTTGCTTTTTTCAGATACTTATAGCGACAAAATAGCTTTTGAACTATAATGGAAAGTAATATAGGGTTTTCAATCTGGATCTCGCAGAACTATAAACTATAAATAATATATCAAACTACATATGCCTAGTCATAACACACAGCGTATTTTGGTTCAAGATAATGATTGTTTTCAAATTAGATATTTTTTATACATTATATAAAAAAATAAATGAGATTGAAATATCACGCTATACGTAGTTGATCAACAAAACAAAAACAACGTTGTCGAAATGGTATTACTATAGAATTTCATTTCATTAAATACTTTCGACTTGGGAAAAATTGATTGCAAGTTTTTGAAAATTGTCTTTGCTAAACCGTACCGCATTTGTTCTTATGATAGCCAATAGCATTAAATATGTAGGAATTCTATTATACTGAATAAAAAAATTCCACCTCGACATGGCCGTCACGTTTTTAAAACATATATCCACACCACCATCACAATCTTCTACATCGTCATGAAGTAATTGCTGAGGCAAAATACAAGTTGCCCCGTTTTTAACGCATTTGAATCCGATCCCATTACTCCACTCGTGATCTTCAGGGCAGGCTGTACAAGGATTACTATCGCAAACTGACGTCCGAAGATAACAAGAATCATCCTATTAATGAATATCAGTCTCATGACTAATTAGAGTTGAAATGTAAGAGGTACAAAGATAACTTAAGAGATTGACATATATAGTTTAACTATTTCTTTAGATCTAGATATTCAAAATTATTTTTCTATATAAATTATTTAACATACACTGAAAACTATAAAAATCGTCTACTTTTACGAGCATGATTTTCGGATTGTATATTCACGCTTGGGTTGTTAAAATGATCATTTCACAAATTTTGTTTATAAATGAAAACGGTGGTACACAGCTCTAGTCTAACATTTTCAACGCTAAAGTAATGCAAAACGTTTCTAGCTATTACATTTCTTACCGTGCATTTATAATGAGATTTACATTTCAGATCACAAGGAGATAAGTTTGAACAAGATACAATTCCATCACATATTTGATCACGCGATACAACGCAAAAACCATCGTGTGAATTTTCAGAATTTGTGCAACTGAAAGAAAGAAAAAATATTGAAAAATAGACATTGTTGCTCCAATCGTCGTAATCATACTTATCGCTATATATCGCTATCGCGAAAATTTTGATTAAAGTGGTTTGTTTGGCAAACCTACATAATGTAGTATGTAAATAAACGCAGTCGATTTTATTGTTTAAATCGTTTAATTGTTTAAAATTTGTTATAGCAATAAAAACAACAACAATCTCTTTTTTATAAATTTATCAATTCCGTTTATTACCATTTGTGTAGAAAAAAAAAAAAAAAAATTGCTGTACATATATTTTATGTGTTGACATTTTGCTTTTCATTTAATAAATAACTTATACATGAGTGGAATAAATGTTGAATAATACAAAAACACTGGATGGCCCGATTACTCACGAATACTTTTATTTTGGAACTTAAAAGCGTGTAACAGCTACAGGACTTTAACAAAAATATTTTCCTTTTTGTCAGGACTAGATTTCAGAAGATTTTCTAAAATTCATCAAAATTTAAAATTGACTGACGGATAAGAATAAGAAAAGTTATACTTTGGAATAATGTTACAATCTTCAGATTCCTATCGCTGTGGAACTTGATAAAAACACAAATTAAAACTTATAAAATTATTATAAAATAAAATATTGGATTAATCGAACGCGTTTGTTACAAAAAATGCGTATCCTGATGTCGAGATTTTAATTTGGATACCACTAGGCGCAGGTAGTTATAGTGAGATATAGCTCAATCCAGGAAACATTCCACAAAAATGGGTATTTACGAAATTCCATATTAAAAAAAAAATAAAAAAAATAAAAAATATTCTAAATAAATTGAGCTAGACAAAAAAAGAGAACTAGATTTCCAAACAAACTTGTGCAATTTCCCCAATGGATGAAATTCTCCCAGGGCTAATCCTGGTTCGTCTTCACCTCCTTTGCAGTCTGCATCACCATCACAAAAGCACTCGTATTTAATTCTTTTTGTATCGTTGCAATAGAAGAATTTTGTTTCTGTTATACAAAATGAATAGTGTAATTATTATTTGAATACAACATCAATTTTTAAACTGATTATTTGTGTCGTTTTCTGGACGATTGATGAACATATTCCGATTGATTTCTAATTAGTCGTGGACGATTCAACATTTCTTCCAAAATTGGAGTAATTTATAAAAGAACCATGGTGTCAGTTTAAAGAAATATAATTTGGCCACGTGAAACATTAAACTAATAAGTTAGAAAATGCAAATTGTCTGATTCTACTTAATAATCTTGAAATGAGCGATGAAGCTTAATGATCCACTGTACTGAACACTTGCTCTTTTTTAAACAACAGTATTGAGTATTAAATTAACAACAGCGCATCAGCATACGAAATGAAAATTAAACCTAGTGCACAAATTCCAGAACATTTATTCATGAATCTAATTCCATAATTGATGGCATAACTGATGCATAAATGTTACATCTCTATAGCAAAATCGCTATATAGCATTTTGAAACACTGTATATGGACTCTCAATTAATTGCAAAAAATTTGGAATTACATCGTGTCTGGTAAAAGGTTAGAAATATCATCATTCAATTTATTATCAACTAATTTTGTTCATGTGACAACTTCATACTCAACAAATTATCAAAATGTCGTTGGATTGCGATAAATATTTATATTAATAAATTTATTGAATTATTTTAACCTAAATATGTAATTTATAATGTAATCTATGCCTTATATTTCCTCCCTTCTTTGCCGTGATAGAAAGGAAACCCTGCCCTTTCATGTATTAGTAGCTGATGGTTGTACGTAAATTTTTTAATGACTACTTTAATGACCTATTATTATATTATTGCATAATGTATATTACGTGCTCCAATATTACTTTAAATATCTTCGAATAATGCTGAACACATTTCTTACCATAATTCTCTCCTCGTGCATAGACATAAAACCCACTTTTAAAAGATATGGTACCTAATATTATTAACAGTTTTATAAGCTGTAACATATTCAGTTTCATAAATATGGAAAAATCTGAAGAAATAATTTAATGTCAATGATTTAAATTCAATAAGATATATAAAACAATTATCGCAAAAAAACACACAAGAGAGCAATGATCAAATATATTGGCACATATTTTTTCCTACAACCCAAATAACCCTAGTTCAAAACGAACAATTGTTACCAATTTATCAAAACCATAGGGGACATAGGTTGATTTCGTGTCCAAATGAAAGTTTGAAGGATTTATGAAAAGCTGAATAATGAAAATAAAATTGTAATCATTTTATGCAAAGATCATTTGTTTTTGCAGAATGCGTAAATTGATTTTGGTACACTATACCTACATGCAATACCAGGAAAAATCAAGAACATAAGCAAAACCGCAAGTGTTCCCACTTCTCAACAATATCCTGTTTTAATTCATCGTATAATCCAAAAAAATAAAGCAATCCTAAAAATGCGACAAAACACTTGTTTGTAGAATCACATCAGAGTCGGATGTAATATAGTAAAATCGTGACATCAATTATGCAATTTATTGTAAATAAATTTATTCGACAAAATATGTAATCAAAGTAATCAAATAAAACCATGAAATTTTATTTTCAAAAACTTTATATAAAATTTGTTTACGTAGTGAAATCTGCGTGACGATTAAATTAAACCGTGACTACCAAATGGAATCTTTAACAAAGAAGAAAAATCCATTTTACAACAAAATTGCGTAATGTAATCTGATTACTCGCACTCATTTTTGTACAGCAATGGCTTTATGCCTTTGTTTTTGTCTTTGTGTTTCAGGGAAAACCTACTAAAGTCCAATTTTATTAACCAAGTTAAATTTTAAATAAGTTTACAAATACGAATGCTTGACCTTCCCTGAAATTGTAAAGGAATTAAATTTATTATTTTACAAAAATATGTGATTGAAACAATGCCACACACTGTTTTCAATGAATTCTTGCTAGCTTTACCTCACACATGTATTGTGTTTTATCTATGGCGCTGGCGAGGTGAGTGTATAAGAATTCTGTTGCATTTATTTGATAATACATTGCGAAATCACCAAAGTTTTCAGAATGATTGATATATTAAATCATGCATTTTGTAGAAATTATGTTCTCAATGTTCTCTCAATGTCGCACTGGCTATACCTAATCTTTCCATTTACTCATTATTTAGTTACGTATTTAATACTGTGCGCAAAAATTCAATTCAAATCCGCTAGAAAACTTCAAATCTATCAAAGCTCTTCGAACCAAGTATGGCCATTGATGGAACGCTTCTACGAGACGTAATAAGTAACATTGTTTAATACTAATCTTTATTGCACAATCCCTTGAAATAGTAAAATCTAGTCTTAAACATGGTGCTGGTATTACAAAGACCTATCACAACAAAAGTGCGTTCGTTTATTCGTGTACTTCAGTCAATAACTAATCGATCAACCCTTTGAACTTTGATGTAAGTAAATTGTTTGAAATTTTGAATCAAACCTTTTGTTTCCATGATATCACGTATTTTTATCTAAGGTGATGACTGTTTTTTAACAAACATCTCAATAATTAATGAGCAATATCGTATAATCTCTTAATTCGAATGCACTCAAAAAGTAATATATTGGGACAAAAGTGTTTACATTATGCATATAAACAATTCGAGTTTACAAACAAGATTAACCGTAACACTAATAGGAGCTCTTGAGATACACAACCTAAACTTTTATCGAAATGTCGTCGATGGCTGATGGAAAACTAAGCTTTATTATTTACAGCCTTTTACTATTCTATTCTTGAGAGACCATAACACCAAATTAAAAAAATCTCGGGGTAGAATCCGCCTGGTAACGCAATTACTGTAACAAAAATACAAACGAAACTCTATAAACCCCGATAACTTGCTTACTTCACAGCTGGCACAGTTCGTTCCACACATTCATTCCTAGTTATAACTTAACGTACTGACGAAGCACACGTTACCCTCAATGTAGATTACGCCGCTAAGAGTTGACGAGTTATGGTTTATATGGCTAACTTCCTATTCATTCTTTCCTATAAGTTGACTTACACTAATATTAGAATTTAACTCGGCCATTCATAGTCTGGATATAACAATTCGTAGAAAAAGCCTGCTTGATTGAAAATTGGCAGTCGTTAAGTTATTGTCTGTAACTAAGATCGACCAGCAATAAAACTACGTTCAACTGAAGCGATTAAGAGCTGATCAAGTCAGGCAAATCGTAAATACTTGGCGAAAATTTGTTTGGTGAAAATCAACGTTTTCAGTTTTTGTTGAAATTTCCACCAAAAGAGTATTTTGCGCTCCTATATTGATTCACATATAAGATGCAATTTAGTATAGTTTTTCCATGATTTTTTGCATGGTGCTCATAGCCTTGCATATTGTTTACGCAATATAGACTTTGAAAATGCGATAAAGCTTGAGTTTGCTTTCGTTTAACGCAAGCTCAGTCAACTAGCCATGCGTAGAGAACGCTTTAAGATTGTAATTATGGATAGCTTCTTCAAAAACTAACCATCTGTTTGAAATGTGACTCTGAAACCATGCTATACCTAAGAATCACTTCAGCTTTAGGTAAAATAAAATTTAAAATTATACGTCTATTTTAGGTAATTCTGTGCTAAGCCTGATTTCTTGATTGTCAACAAAATATGGCATATCCGGAATAATACGACATACGAAATACGTTGAAGTTTCTTGAGTACGGAATTTTAAACTGCTAAATATACACTCATGCTGTATTTTTATAACTTTTTGTGAAGCTAAAATCTTACTGAAGTCAGCGAAATACGATCCAAATACAAACACGAGGTCAAATTTTCCTTGAACAATTTCGCATAAGATAACTGCTATCTAAACTTTATAGCTGTCACGTAAAATAATATCCCAATAATGCTTTTTTGAGTTCACCATTTTCACGTAGAATATGTAGATATATTGCTAATTAACATTCCATGCCCCATAACAATAAGTGCGCCCGGAATCAATGCTTTGAGTTCTTAGATCTGATAATTTTGACCCTGGCTGGACTTTCATATCTAAGCTACGCATCTCAAGAGACTGATCATAATAGACAACTTCGGAATGTCGAACTCAAATGCCAGACAACCAACACATCGAATGAAAAGATGTCACTTGAAGAAGTCTTTATATGCAGGAGTTGCCTTTTTCATCGAAGCATTTTTTCAATAGACTACAAAGAATATATAATTTCAGTTAGCGTTATACGCTGTAATTTTAGAACCTAACGTTAACGTTGCTTATATAGTGAAAATTAATATATACAAATAATGTGACCAGACAAAAATAGGTTTCCACGATTGGCTATACTCAGGCGAATAAGATCGAACTCTTTTGTAGCTTAGTGATATCATTTTTAAGAATAAAATGGCAAAAATGAGGATTAATAAAACACATGACCGCATATACCGCACTTATCTTATTTGTCATCATATTCCCTTGCGGATTGCTACCTTTATTCGTAGTGTAATGCATACTACTACCTAATCCTTACTGCTTAGAAATTTCAAAAATTACGATGAATTTCCCCAGTAAACAAAGCAAGTCTATTGATTGCAGGACATTGAGAATTCAATATATATATTACAAAATGTAATGTACCCAAGTGACTTCTAATACTGTATACATCGGCGTGTAATGTAGCAAGAAATCCATGACATCGAGAATCCATATTTTCAACAGCGTTTTGATACGCTGTGGGCTGTGGTATGAATCAAATTGGCAACTATTCAACATTATGCCTACCGGCGATTTGCAATTGATGATTTTATCGCATAAAAATTAAATTCGACGTCGATGGCGAAATAGTAGTATTGTTAGGCTATCATAGCATAGTAGCTGAAATTTTCTCATCGTTGAACAGTATTGCGCAGAAGACTATCTTATCCAATTCGCAATTTAGCTTCAATTTGTCATATTTTAAATAGACATTGATCCTCTTGCGATACGACCTACTCACTCTTCATAGATTTTTTTCGGACGTTTAAATTTGCCGGGCCAGTAATTGAGTATCTAGCACAAAAGGTAAAATTTTATTAGGCTATTTGATTGTGGAAATTTACTCAGCAACAAGATGTATGATTTTAGTTTGAATCCTTGCTATACTTATACAAATATGTGGTATTCAGAAATGTTGACTTCTGATACAATTGTAAAAATTGGTGGTTCTTTCCAACTCATCATTTTAAAAGTTAAAATCGTCTTCCAGTAGCAAAGTCAGTGTAGTAAAGGCAGTGCCCTTCAACTGAACAAAAAAAAACTTCAAAAACCTATTTAATATTCAATATTGACATGTTATTATTTATTATATTTAGCCTTTACATAACAAAACTGAAAAAGAATAATAGGAAATTCTGTATATTTTTCCAACGTTGTTTTTTGGTATCAATTCATAAAATAGATTGCCCATGCATGATTCGAATCACGAGACAGTTCTATAATTTCCTTACCCCGAAGACAGTTTAAGTTTTAATCACGTTCGCTCACGTTGTTTTCGCGATACCAGCAATATCAACTTAGGAAAAGACAACTATAATTCGAGTTCACATTACACTGTGATCGTACTATAAACCACCTGATATTCACGGCTCATATAATCATTCAAAGATGACACATTTAACTTGAATTGCATAACTTTTTCGCTGGATATCGTTCTTTGTTTGGGTTTGCAATCAGGTTCATTTTCTCGACACAATTTTAGAGAGACTAAATGCCTGAATAGCTAAATCACATAAATATAATAAATCAACTTTGACATTGACTGACTCCGTTCTTCTGATGAATCACCATGGATGTAACAAAATGCTTATTTGTTCAATTTAAGCTCAAATTCGAACCCAAGCCAAAAGTCGGGTCGACAACTCTACGATTCCTTGTCAATCTAAGAGCATTGTGGCTTTTTTTAAGCTAGTGGGAATTGGTGTGATTTGCTAATTTGCTTTATTCATTGTTATTAAACTGACACATGCAATGAAGATGGTTCATTTAATTAAAAAATAAAAAAAAAATAATACATTGCAAATCAATGCAATATTCAATAAATCAAAAAAGCAATATACGTGAATAACTATATAGATAAAATAAGATATATTATGATATCATAAGTTAATCAGAATATAATTCCAGTTGACTATAACATACACATCGCGACAACTTATACGACTACTATTAATGGCGGTGCTCTCGAACATAGGAAACTTTTAAATTGCTCTGTTGAAAGTTGACATAAATTAAAACATGGGGGAAATCCCGCAATATCACAAAATGCTAATTTGTATTTATACTGAGACTAAAAATGATATTTTCAAGGCAGGAAAATAAACAAGGTGGGTTTTCTCTGTGGCACAATATCTGATTCTTAATCGAAACATTTTATTTTTTATTTTTCTAGCCGTTATTTACTTATTTGCAAACCGCTACTGAAATTTAAAACTGACTGATTTTTGCCATTCCGTCTCACATGATGACGTGTTAGTATCAAATCCCACGTTTATTGTCTAAAAATGAGTCAGCACGGTGTTCGTCACATGATAATGCGGTAATAAAAATAACGTCATGCATGACGTCACAGTGAATTTCTCTTTTGGCTTGAGAGACTTTGTACCGTTGCGTAGTTCATAAACCCACAAAAACTGTTTATGAAATTTGCTTGCTGTTTTTAAATTTGGGTACCTCAATGTTCCGAAAAGTATAGTATTTACTCTACTAATATGACGCTTTAAATTCATTTTTGCGGATCAATGAACAAAACTGCGTTCTATAAGCAGTTTGGTGTTTTATTCTCAATATGATTTAAGTCACCATAATGAATCAATATCCGAAGTCAATCATTCACGCTAGACATATTAAAAACAATTTTCAGTAAGCTCTTTAATCCATCATTATTTTTTATTATCATCGCATATTTTTTTGATAAAAACTTCCCACGATCCTATAAGGTAAATCATGCTTTGACAAAAAAAGCGTACACAAACGACACCGCAAGACTTATTGCCGTCTCATGCTTGTATGTTTGTAGGCCTACAGTTGAATAATTTTTCACTCTTATTCATTTTTGTTTGTTATAGATATATCAGAATGTCATTGTATATAAATAGGTCATTATAATATCTTCAAAGGAAACGATTTGAACACAACGTGATGCAAAATAATTCATTATGTGAAAATAATTCTTTGTTAATTAGCGTGACGGTATACTGCTTTTCTACGTTTTCGGGGTATGACCGAAACAAAATCCCCAGTTGATAAATTTAATTTTGGTTCTTATAATCTTAAATATGAGGAGGTAAGACCATACCAAACCCGACTTTAGTAACTATAGCTATAAAAACGAGTTTTTTGTCTATTCCGCTTCGATTCATATTATTTTAATTTGCAGTAAAATAGCAGGCGAATAAAGCTCGAAAAATGTCATTGCAAGGGGTTGCTTAATAGTTGGATCATTAAATTCATCAAATTCAAATCATTGAATTGTTGTGTCGTTAGCTTTACAATGAGTTACAAATTGGATCATTCTGCAGATCATACTCAAAAATCATCATCAGAAATCATACAAAAACTAAGTATTGTTTCCGAGAACTAGCAGAAGCAATATTGCACAAAATAATAGGAATATACAATGTTGGTTTTGGAAAAACAGAAAATTGATTCAATTACACAGAAAATACAAAATTTGAAACGCACAGAATTCTTAAATCAACGCCGTGAATTAGTTAGGAAATCACATAGTAAGCAGAAAAGAGGTGAAAATCACAATAAACATTAAATTTAAAATCATAAATTCTTAGAACAAATACATTCCAAATGAATAAAAAGTCAGATATGTGATTGCTACTTGGCTCAGTTGGCTGCATGAATTAAAATTAATAGGATTTCTATAAAGCCTTTTTTAAGGAAGCAAAACAAAGTGATCCGGCAGGACACGGTCAAAACTAAATGCAAATATAAACATCGTTTGCCTTCACGCAGATTATAATACAGTGTCGATTAAATCAGCGTCTTTCCGCAAAAACCTTATATGGGTTAGGGCGCAAGGTAAACATATTATATCCTTTTATATCAACTTCATCTGGCCGATCAAGAATAAAGTGATAACGTTGAAATAGCGTTGCGGTGATGAGAAATAATTCCATTATCGCTAGCTGTTGTCCAAGGCATTGTCGAGCTCCGATCGAGAATGGAATTACGTTAGGGGATTTAATGAATTTTCCGTCTGCGGTAATATGGCGCCCTGGATCAAACTTTTCTGAATCTCCCCAAACCGATTTGTCATGGTGGATCCTAAAGATGTTGGAAACTACGATTGAACCTTTTGGAATATTGTAGCCCAGAATAGTATCTTCTTTAGCAGCAACATGAGGAATCCCAACCGGAGCAACAGGTCGAATTCGTAATGTTTCCTTTAAAAATAAAGCAAGACAAAACATAAAAAAATCTTGGGAAATTATGTCAATTATGAAGACTAACAATGTGATACAATGTATTAATGTTATCAAATGCTGTCCCGTGCATTAAAAGCAAAAGTCATGTTCGGTTCCGGTGCTGCAAATTTTTGAGATAAACATGTACACATATACAAAAAATCTGGTGTTGATTTATATTTACCGTTTAATGTTTCTGTAAAATAAAACTATCAGCTAGCAAAGCAGTTGGGTGGACAGATGCATTTTCGATACCAGTCATCTTTATCACCCACTAGACGCACAGCGTACGCAGATGCGTATAACATCAACTTTTTACAAGTTAAAATACTATTGTTTTGTGATAAATTGTAAAGAAATTGAAGAAAATAAGACAAGTAATTTTTTTTTAATAATTATCAGCAGCAAATCTTTTCACCTGGATCACGGCCCTGGTGTATGGCATCTTCTCTGATTTTGCTACACTTGCACGGCAGTCTTCTCCTAAAACGAAATCAATCTCTCGATGCATGTGAGATTGAATCTCGGGATTAAGTGTGACGTATAACATCAACCAACAAAATGTAGTAGATGACGTTTCAGATCCAGCAAGAAAAAGATCACGAACTAGTTTTATCAACTGATCGTGCACAAAACTTGTTTCCGTCTCAACAAATCTGTGGTCTGAGCCTGATATACAAAATACTGCGTAAGTGAAAATGTGCACGCAGTGGACACACTTCTGCAATCAGATTTGTAAACCAAGAAACATATTTTTGAACTGAAAGCAATCTGCATTTTCCAATTGCGTGCGGTCATTCACTAATTATGATAATATGTCTATGCCATTTATGCGTGAGGCCACTTAGTGTTTGGGATGAAATAAAAATACAATTCAGTTTAAATAAATCCATTATTATGTCAATATGCCACAATAAATACACGGTAATTGTTATTCGCACTGCCAACATCAGATTTGTAAGTTTTGCTATTTGTGATACTGATTCATTCATACAGATCGAACAGGGATTAATTGATAACGAAATAAAAATGATGTTTACCTGCCGAATACGAGTGCCGTCTTGCACGATTCGTTGTTTCCATCTCGTTCAGAAAACAATCTATGACATCACGAGGTTCAATCTTATCTCTCGATTTTCTGTGTTCTTCAATTTGCACTTTGATTTCCCGACACATGCTGTTGTTATAGTCATCTGATATTTTGTATCCAAAAGAAAACGGGGGAATATACTGAGAACAAAGAACAAATGAATATCAATTTTAGCATTGAATTAGCGATGTTGAAGAACCATTATTACAAGAAAACACGCAAAAACGACATTAAGTGTTTTATTTTTTCCATAATAAGCTTATACGTTTTGAACAAAAATCCCAACAAATTATAGATTTTCTTGTATTCGTGTATGACGATATAGTTTTATGCTAATGATTGTTTTGAAATTGAATTACTAACTTTCAAGACAGGGACGAGGAAGATCAATCCGGTAAACTTATCGTAGGGGGTTCCTTCAATCAGAATTTTCAGCAGCCTTTTAAATTCTTCATTTTCTTCAGACAAGTTTTTGTTGAATACAAGCTTAGAAATAACACTTGATACTGATTCATAAACAGCGGGTTCAATGCTAAACGCTTCTCCTTTCACACAATACTCTTCTACGCGTTCACAAATGTGCTCGCATTTTTCCAAGATTGCTGGTTCTATACTACGCCTCCCCATGCCAAAGTCACGTAAAGCTGCTAGTCCAAAACGACGCTGCTCTTCAAGTTTATTTGTATTGTTGATAAAAAGAATTCCGTTGTCTCCGAGTAAGGGAGGCACGGAATTCATCAACCTATCTGAAAATATTTCACTCTTTTTTACAAACGCTTCGTGAACTGCTTCAATGCTACCGAGAAGTATAAAATTTCTGCTTCCCAGTTTTACTTGACAAACCGGACCATATTTTTCGTTCCAATTGTACATTACTCTTTCAGAATGAAAATTGAGTGACGGAAGACTCCCAATAAACGGCCATCCTTTAGGGCCTAAAACAGAACAATAATTACAATTTTACAATGCCCCACTAACACATATGATTGCTTCACGACAAAACATCAGAAGTTGTACATCTGAGCATTTGTAAATTTAAAGTAATATTGAGCATGAATGCACCCTCGCATGCGTAATGTATAAGAAATATATAAATAAAATTACCAGGAGGCGGGTTAGTCATCATCTTTTCTCGATGTTTTATTAAAGAAATATAAAATGCAACTATGATCACAAGGATGGCGAATGACTGTGGGCTAACGTATTGTTTCAACATGAAAAAACTCCAAAACTTGACTTCGTCCATATCAGTAGATTAAATAGCTTTTAATAATCTGATATATTTACGATGAAACCTGATGGAAAGTAGAAGAAAATGGTTTTGGGTTTACAATGACTAGACAAGTTCAGCTCTGATGAGACTGTTAAATGGATTTGACAGTGCTATTGCAGTGACTGTTGCGCTATTGTGGACGCACAATCATGGTTGAAAGGAAAAAAACACTAATCAAAATGTTAGGTAGTTTATAAAAATACTCAACTATGTGACATGCTTATGTAATGATTATAACTTGCATGAACCACGGTCATAGATTATATCTAACTGTTATCTAAATACAAGATACACTAAGTAAATGAATGCTTATTCAGTTACGCGATCGTCTTAGACATACAATAAATCAGTTTGGAAGTGGCACGTTTGCATTGTTCAAACACTTCTTTTGTTGAAACATTGAATTCAATGTTTAAGCTCGAACACGAAACTACAACATCCACATTGAATTTCCAAAGTAAGCCTGAGACTTGAATTAGACTGATTAATTTTGATGTCTTTACATATATCGTATCAGTAGTCAGTCAGTATCCCCCGTAACGTTGAAACTTACAATACAGCCTACATCGGTCTCTTCGTTTATAATTCTGATATAGCATCTGTAATATTACCAAAATATAAATTTCACAATATGGAATTTATAATCTTCAGGCACATATAAAACGAAATTCAACCTACGAGCATCAATATCATCAATATCGCCACAGTCCGAGAATACAAAGAGTAACTATTGTAAACAGATAGATTTTGTGGATCACAGCCCGTTTGAAGATCTTGATGTATCAGAAGCAGATGCTATTGATGGTCCAAATATGGCATGTCATGAAATTTCTTTCTAGCTAATAATTAACAGAGAAAGTTATTTGAAGAGAAAGTATTTGCCTGAATATGCCCACAATACGCCCCCAACAGTTAGAAACTAACTAAAGATTGAGGTTACTACCGAACGTATGACATAATGACTGAAATTATGAATCGTCGCTCTTCTGCAATAAGCAGCAACCAGACGTGGCTAATTTAGAACGAGATGTGCTTGCACATTGAATTAATATTTATAACCACTGAAATGTCATGGTTGAATCGAGTTGAGTCATAATAATTTTCGTTAGAAGTCCCTAGAACAGCAAACAATTTAAATGGTTATAATAAAATCACTTCACTGTGTGTTGGTTAGTATCTTCTCAAATTTCTCGATCATTGATGAATGGTTAACCGATAATTTAGTTAAGTTTTTGATGCGTTCCGAAATCGGATATACGGCTAATATAATGTAGATGGCTTCTGCTGTACGAAATTGACATTTTCCCCATAATTTAATGGGTAAACGTGCTTCTTTCTAATGTCTCATGCTCCTTATTGCATAAAACTTCAACTTTAAAAATAATACAAGTGATGTAACAAACAAGAATATATTTACAGTACTTATCGTATTGGTATATTCTATGCTTGTTTAATGTCAAAGTCCAAACGATAAGCAAATAGGAAAGTTGTTTCTTATGATTCTTCAGACACGGTCCAAGTTAACTGTTGAAGACTTTCTACGCTATGAGACTGTTTATTTCAAATGAGAGACCCCAGTTGAACGATTTCATTCGAAATTTACAATAACTTAAATGGTTATAAGTATATTTTAAAATAAATAAAAAATAAATAATAGCAATTAAAAATCAATGATAATATGTTCAATAAAGTTAATATTAAAAATGTGTAACATAAAAAGCAGATAACTGGTATTTTAAAAACTTATAACAATTATATCATATCAATTTATTATTAATTACTTCATCGGAATCTTGGAACGACAAAAAATTTTGTTCAACAAAAAATGCTTACTATAGCAAAGCCCAGATCAACATGTTAGGTTATTTTTGGGCGCTCCCGAAGTATGTGCACCAAGATGGCGCACAACCTGAACCCTGACCTGAACCTGAACATACTATGTTCAGGTTGTGCGCCATCTTGGTGTACATACTTCTGGAGGTCGTAATTTTGTATGTTGAGCTTGATATATTAATTCTTATGTTTATAATCTTACGACAGACAAGTGTTTGAATTGGACTATTGCATTTTTTTTTACCAAAAGTGTTTGTTCATTTTGACTTTTTTTGACATTGAGCATTTAAAAATGATAACAAAAATAAAAAATTTGAAAAAGTCAAGTTACGCAAAAAGAAATACAATATGAATATGTTTTACAAATTGTATAATATTTATCGTGTTTATTCATACTAACGCAGCGGCACCCAATCTTTTCGAGACCTTTTTTCTTTTGAATATTTTGAAACTTCATTTTTTCATTCTCAAAACCCATGTGTTCATGGATATATATCACAATTAATTAAGTCAAAAATATTGATAAAACTACACACAAATACAAGTAAAATGTCCGATAGGAAAGGCTTTGCTAAGGTATAATAATCACATTATATGACTCCCTTTGGAAAGCGCTTTATGAATGAACAGCAAGATATTTCTCATACTGCTCAAGTACTTATCATAATTTAAAAAAGTCTCTTCGATAATAATATATCAGGAGATGCATTATCGAGTCAAACGCTTACATATTAGATATATAATAAAATAATATATATCATTTTAATCGCACAATGGCCCACTCAACTCCCATTGTCGCATATGTCTATTGAAATAAGTATTCGATTAATAATCCTAATTAGGCCTAATTCTGAAGAATTCGATATGAATTAGTCATACCATTAATATCATGGATATTAGAGTTGTAAATTAAAAAAAAAACATACATGTCGTTAAATTATTAGAAATTATATTGTATTGCAGTACTAGTTCATAAGAGGAAAAATAAATTGATTTAGATGTTACATAAATCAAAGTTCAGCTGTGAAGTCAGGTAAAATTAACAATAGACTTCGACCCCCGAATCCTGACAGAAAAATTTTTTGATTCCTACTTTGGCTCCGACTTACCGAAGAAATCCAATTTTGATAAAAAATACTTTGGTATATGCAATCTTTCTTTAATGTAATATTTTGAACGCTTAGTCAAAGGTTTAATCTGGAGTTTCTAAAATTTTGTTTAATTATTGCCAGGAAATGACTGAAATTTTGTATCCAACTCTCGACACCGTAATAATCAACTCCGGACTTCAAAATATATAAATTATAAATATACGACGCCTAATCCAATAAAATCATAACAAACTCTGACTCCCGGTTTCGACTTCTCAGTCATATTTTAAATCAAACTTAAGTATATGAAACTACATTGTTAGGTTTCACAAATGAAACTAAGAGTGTTATCAAATGACTCAATGTTCATCATTCCTTTGTCCATTTGTTCTGTTTTTCTGATCATCATCACAACATTCGTTTTTGCTTCATCAGATGCTGGGAAATTTGAAAACCATGGTAACGACACATTTTTACCTGTAGTTAGCAAGATTGTATCGTTCTGTAAATTGGAAAAATATGGGCTATCAAATTAGAACATTTAAAATATTATTATCAACAGTTACCAAAACCGAAACATTATCACAAAAACATTTTTTATACGTGAAATGTAAAACTTGTAAATTTACATATAAATCATAAAATCCAAATAATGTGTAATTTAATATAATACAGAACACATAGGTCAATTCTATAAACAATAACCAACCTGATATGTCATTCCTGTCCATGGGCTGATTCCAGATATCGTGGAGGGAACCATCGGGCGTGCATAGCTTTGTAACAAATTATAATGTGCAAGGTCATATATGTTTGCCAAGCTTGCTCCAGTTTCGTTGCAATTAGACTGGGCATCTCTGAAATTGATTCCTGTTTTTTCATTGACAAATAATTGGAAGCATTTGCCTTTGTATACAACCCCACAGTTTTCTGTACAAAAAATTAAAAAAAAAAATGTTTTTAGAAAAAACTTTTTTCTAATTTCAAAATAATTCTTGTTTGCGGATTTTATTTATTCCGAAAAATTTCGTGTTTAATCCAACTATTGATCTAAATAACTTTTTGTCGCTTTTGGAGTACAAATTTATAACAATGCGGAATTATTTATTATAATTCTGACAATATATGTCCAATTGAAATCTATTCTATTTTGAATGTTTTTCATTTAGAATTCATCAATTATGAAGTTTAACACATTTAGTAAAATTTGGCGTCACGTTAAAATAGATCGTATATTGCCATAACAACACTTATTAATCGAAAATATTAGAATATTCAGTAGTTTTTGAATGAATTGAATACCAACTCAACACTGTTTAACGGAATTTTTTAAAAGATGCTATTTTAAGAGTAAATAAAATAAGAATGCTAACTGCACTCTTCCGTTCTATAAATATAATTACCAGATGTAGTTAGAACTTCGAAAGCATCAATTTTTTGTACAGTAGTAGCTTTCTCAGTAGTTTCAATTTTGGTAGTAGCTGCATGAACTTCTCCGTGATGCTCAAAAGTAGTTTGTTCATAGTCTACAGAAAAAAAAAAAACAGAACTCATATTCACTTGACATATACTATTTGTTTTACTTTTTCCGTAATCAAACAAAAATTGTCAGGCTAAAATTCAGCACTTGTGTTGGGTGAGTTATTCTCAGACTCAACCTCATTTTGTTTGACATTATCAGATTTATTTTGATACAAACCGAAAAAAATGTGCAAAAAAGGTCCAAGAAGACTGTATTTAAAATATTCAATATAAAGACCTTCACTTTGGCGCCCAGTCAACGATCAATTTTTTAATTTAGGAATAAATCTCTACCTTCGTTAGTGATAGGAACATTTGTTGTATCTGGAACCAAAGTAGAACTTCCGTCGTCACGTGAAATAGAAGTGGTGACTTTGATACTTTCAAGTTTTTTCTCCATTTGTGATATACTTTCAAACAATGCTGCTATTTGATCTAAATCCAAACAAATTTATATATTTAGTTTGGTGACCCTGTAGAAAATGACAATTGAGTGATGGAATAAATGGCAGAGATATGTAAAACGGAATATATATCACTAATTTAATGTGAAGGAGTCTGCCACAAAATTTTTACTTCAATAATTAATAAAAACAAACTTATTATGCCAGGTCACAATTTTGCATTGTATCGGTTCAATTATAATTTATCAATTTATTGCGTTGTATGATCACTTCATTTCCTTTTCATTTGTTTTGTCTAAACTGGATGAACATGGTAATACATTCAGATTCATTTTTCAACTTTAAATTTATGAAGTTTGTTAAAACCTTGATTTTTCATGACTTGAGGGTACGTAATAGACAAAATATTAGGAATCCCTAAACTATCAACTAACCTTCTAGGTCTTTTACTTTATTTTTCCACATTTCATCCTAAAAAATGGAAATTACAGTCTATTTAAAAATGTTTTTTTACTACTAAAAACTTTGTTTTCAAAATTGAATGCAGTAAAGCTAAGTCAAAAATACTTGAATGAAATCATGATTAACTTAATCAAACTAGTAAAAATCATATTTAATTAATGGATAGAAGTTTAATATACCGTTAAACAACTCGGACTGCTCGGTAATTGCTTCACCCAAGTGGGTTGTCCATCGCATGTTACCGGAATCCAGCATTCATCGTTAACTGAAAACAAACAATATTGAATGCTGAAACAAAATCGCGCATTTGCATTTTGCACTAGTTTTAAAAAGGAATTACAATAAAGCAACTCTGTGTTAGTTTCTCACTTTTAAAAGAATTCCATTACCCAATACGATTTCGAAAAAGCTGTACAAACCTCGTTCCGCTGTTATCACTCCAGCAATGAGTAGAAGTTGAATAATCATTTGATAATACGAAGCCATTGGGCTTATTTGTACCGTCATACAGTTGTGCATGCTTACACTGGATAGTTGTTGGTACAGATTTGAATATTTATCATCTAGCTAATTTTTAAACAACTTATTCCACAAACCAAATTCGACCTTCTATTTTTAGCTACCAAAATGCATTTATATAGATAGTCATTGCCGAGTCACTTTATTCATTTCAACATACGGAAATAAACTCATATGAACTCATCCAAACCTGACATGAAAGAGCAAATGCTTTTTGTTATTGACGTGATATTCTTATTTGCGTGCAAAATATTTCCATGCAATAAAAATCAGTTAGTAAACTTGGCCCCGGATGTATTTAATCTAAAGCTAAGGCTGTACCTCGTTACAACTTACAACAATGATCAAAAGTAGTAAAAGAGATTGTTCGTTGATGTATGTAATTTAATAAAGAAAAAATATTTGAGCAGAAGTTACAGAAGTTACAGCAGAAGTTACATCACGTCGGGGTCACCAATGTAACTTCTGCTGTCTTTGCTTTCTAATTAAGCGAATTAGATAAGTATCTGACTCCAAAAACAGAATATATAGTAGGTTACGTGTTCAAATTGAGATATCTGTTAATTTTATATAACAGTAAGGATCTGACCAATTTGCCTGTAAAGATTTTTATTTCCACGGATAATATATCACAATAAATTTACTTACAATAAAACACACTCACAATCGTGAAAACCAAGTCGGTGATGAATTAGCATTGTTGTATAGAACGAATTGAAAAAGAAAAGCCGTGAAAACCACGATCAAATGTCTATTTAAACGGTAACATCTTTTTCATCTCGCTCGCCAAAAACGGTACCTTTCTTTATTATCCAAAAATCTCGTTTCCCACGGAGCAATTTTTGCTCATATCTAGAATGTTCGGTACCCTTCTTACAATAATTACACTTGTTTATAGGTTACCTGACATGGGAAATATCCATTTTCTCATACACGAGAAAGATCTAGACTCAATATTTCGAATGATCTAGAAAGATCTCTTCAATATTTCGGTTGTTTATGGGTCACCCGACATGGGAAAATATCCATTTTCTCATACACGAGAAAGACTGGAAAGATCTCTTCAATATTTCGATTACGTCAATTATTATATAGAATTTGACTTCCATTATCCAAATTATTGGTTAATTTGTTACTTCAATGTAACTTCTGCTGACTTTGCTTTCTAATTAAGCGAATTAGATAAGTATCTGACTCCAAAAACAGAATATATAGTAGGTTACGTGTTCAAATTGAGATATCTGTTAACTTTATATAACAGTAAGGATCTGACCAATTTGCCTGTAAAGATTTTTATTTCCACCGATAATATATCACAATAAATTTACTTACAATAAAACACACTCACAATCGTGAAAACCAAGTCGGTGATGAATTAGCATTGTTGTATAGAACGAATTGAAAAAGAAAAGCCGTGAAAACCACGATCAAATGTCTATTTAAACGGTAACATCTTTTTCATCTCGCTCGCCAAAAACGGTACCTTTCTTTATTATCCAAAAATCTCGTTTCCCACGGAGCAATTTTTGCTCATATCTAGAATGTTCGGTACCCTTCTTACAATAATTACACTTGTTTATAGGTTACCTGACATGGGAAATATCCATTTTCTCATACACGAGAAAGATCTAGACTCAATATTTCGAATGATCTAGAAAGATCTCTTCAATATTTCGGTTGTTTATGGGTCACCCGACATGGGAAAATATCCATTTTCTCATACACGAGAAAGACTAGAAAGATCTCTTCAATATTTCGATTACGTCAATTATTATATAGAATTTGACTTCCATTATCCAAATTATTGGTTAATTTGTTACACATTCCTGGCACCACAAGTGAAATATTTTAAAAGCACATATTAAAAATTAACCGATAATTGTAGAAATATAAGAATGAAATCGAAATTATCATGGCAGTAATCAAATCTCGTAACTTTTGAAGATGGCAATTTGAAATGTCAAAGTAATTTGTTTGAAAACTGTCGGATGAAGAGCAAAATATCCACTACGAATAGCAAGAAAAAATGGTCGAGTGTAATTAATCAATAAGACATAAGACTCAGAAACGACAAGACAAATTCCTTAATTTTGGTTATTTAAAATGGCAATTGAAAGATTTATATACAAGAAGAAAAACATGGAATTTGAGCACTAATTATACATGCAAGAATTAAAAACATACAACTTAAGAACTCATTGTAGCCCCATTTATTATGATTCTGACTTGGGGTCTTTTCAAATTATAAGGATGAGACATTTGTATTGTGAAAGGCATTTGAATTGTGCAATTCAGTGAAACAGTAATGGTATTATTATACCTTCTTCTCACCTACACGACTTTCAAAATTGTGAGCACTAGTTTAATGTACGATTTACTATTAGATCAATTAGGCGATAATGACTTTAAAAAATGAAGAAAAGATGGTTTATTGATTCCCAAAAACAAAAAAATCTTACAATATGACTGTATTGTAGGTCTTTACGTTATCAGTGTTAAACCTTATTAAACATAAGGCTTTTTGGTAGGTCGTTACGTTTCAGTGATTGCAACTAGGTAGGTCTTTACGTTTCAGTGATTGCAACTAGTATTGTTACTACTCATTCTACATTTAATTGTCTGTACCATTTGCAATAAAAATGGGGGGGGGGGGGAAAGATTTAGATGTAAAACACAATAATTTGTCATGAAATTTGAAAAATACAACAAATAGACGAGCGTTGTAAAACCAATAAAAGAATGCAACAATAAAATTAATTTTGAGACATCGGTACCGTGATATTTCCTATTAATCTCATAAATTCAATAAACTGCAGAAAGAATTAAGATAACTTCTGTGAAAACTTTGTGCATTTTATTTGGAGATAAAACTTGGTGGAGAAAACAAAAAAATGATTGGAGTACTCCATTTGGGGAATCATTGGTTGAAAAAAATGATTGAGGGAAAAAAAATAAGGCTTAAAAAACTTGTGAGCCTTTGGATCCAAAAAAAAAAAAAATGTTAAAAAAATGTATTTATTTTCTTGATTATAATTTCTTGATTATGTAACCTGTCATTGTCTTTTATCAGGTCATAAGTTTTGTTTATCGCCGCGAGCGCTATAAATTTTTTATTTATTCGCTTCCGCTATCCGACACGAGATTTATGACCTCGACATTTCCACCATTGCTTCTGAGGTGTTGCATAGCATTGGCCCTCTCGTTTGCTGGGGGAGCTCTTTGCACCGGTGCCATAGGACGAGCTGTGGATGATTGGCCGATGGGGGTTCGGCTTCTGGCTCCGCCACGGGACGACCAGAGACGGTCCCATCTATCCCTTACTGGGGTACGCGTGACTCTCGGTTGGTGGTGGACATGCGTACGTCTGGAATGATTTCCGTTCGGTTCACGGGAGCGGGTACGTCGATATCTGGGGCCTTCCTGTTCTCTCGGAGTGCTTGTACGTCTGTCGGGAGGAGAGGGACGCCCCCCCAAAGATTCTATCCCTTATTCTTCTCCCGACAGAACTTCGGATTCCACTTCCAGCCAAAGTTACAGTCCTGCCGTAAGCAAAAATAATAGACAGAATTAGCCCGATCAGTATTACAATGGCAAGGAATTTATTGCCTATTCCACTAAGAAAAGATATCAATATTTTTTTAATATGTTTAGCTAGTATTTTCAGGGGAAGTGCAGGATTAGCACTAGTTGTTTCCTGTTCGTCATTAAAAGAATTGGCATAGTCAATTAGACTTTTAGTAAATATGGAATTCTGGCTTATGGACATTAGCATTGAATCTATGTCGTTAGAACGCGGTACGTCGTTTGGATTGGAATGTGAGACCGAAATTGGAATGTGAGACCGAAAATGTAACTTCTGCTGTCTAAATTGGTTTCTAATTAAGCGAATTAGATAAGTATCTGACTCCAAAAACAGAATATATAGTAGGTTACGTGTTCAAATTGAGATATCTGTTAATTTTATATAACAGTAAGGATCTGACCAATTTGCCTGTAAAGATTTTTATTTCCACGGATAATATATCACAATAAATTTACTTACAATAAAACACACTCACAATCGTGAAAACCAAGTCGGTGATGAATTAGCATTGTTGTATAGAACGAATTGAAAAAGAAAAGCCGTGGAAACCACGATCAAATGTCTATTTAAACGGTAACATCTTTTTCATCTCGCTCGCCAAAAACGGTACCTTTCTTTATTATCCAAAAATCTCGTTTCCCACGGAGCAATTTTTGCTCATATCTAGAATGTTCGGTACCCTTCTTACAATAATTACACTTGTTTATAGGTTACCTGACATGGGAAATATCCATTTTCTCATACACGAGAAAGATCTAGACTCAATATTTCGAATGATCTAGAAAGATCTCTTCAATATTTCGGTTGTTTATGGGTCACCCGACATGGGAAAATATCCATTTTCTCATACACGAGAAAGACTGGAAAGATCTCTTCAATATTTCGATTACGTCAATTATTATATAGAATTTGACTTCCATTATCCAAATTATTGGTTAATTTGTTACTTCAATGTAACTTCTGCTGACTTTGCTTTTTAATTAAGCGAATTAGATAAGTATCTGACTCCAAAAACAGAATATATAGTAGGTTACGTGTTCAAATTGAGATATCTGTTAATTTTATATAACAGTAAGGATCTGACCAATTTGCCTGTAAAGATTTTTATTTCCACGGATAATATATCACAATATATTTACTTACAATAAAACACACTCACAATCATGAAAACCAAGTCGGTGATGAATTAGCATTGTTGTATAGAACGAATTGAAAAAGAAAAGCCGTGAAAACCACGATCAAATGTCTATTTAAACGGTAACATCTTTTTCATCTCGCTCGCCAAAAACGGTACCTTTCTTTATTATCCAAAAATCTCGTTTCCCACGGAGCAATTTTTGCTCATATCTAGAATGTTCGGTACCCTTCTTACAATGATTACACTTGTTTATAGGTTACCTGACATGGGAAATATCCATTTTCTCATACACGAGAAAGATCTAGACTCAATATTTCGAATGATCTAGAAAGATCTCTTCAATATTTC